GACAGATATATTGCAGTAGGGCTGAGCCATATGTGAATAGAGAGAAAGGTATATATTAGTGCATAAGAAGATAATTATTTTAGGACATAGGACGGAGTAGAAGCAGCAGTTTAAAAGGGTTATAGCCTCTAAAAGGAGGGATAGAGTAGTATAAAGCCATCCTGCCCCTAATGGGGAAACAAGGAAGCTCCTGAAGGTTGCTGTAAGCCGGTTGTCCTGCAGCATACTTTAGATGCTACAAAATTAGAAGTATGGAATACCATCATGTGTGCTTCCAGTGTTAGATCCCAGGCAGTTCCTTGTCTCGGGGGCTGAAGAACATTGTGGAGGTCCCTGACACAAGCAGGATTTTTTTAATTGCCTTCAGCATTGGGTGTTTAAAGTGTTTGCTGAAATCTGTACTGTTGAACACAGTAGCCTCGGCTATGTTTCAGAATGTATTTTCATGCTTTTTAATAAATCTCAACATGCATCTGAACACGGTTGGTGAACAGATGTCTCGGGAAAGGCACTGTGTGTTTGGATAGTCCTTGGTGTAATGGATCTCTCTAGGAATTTGGACATTGTCATGGTACAAACCTGCTGTCCAGCAGAGGTAACAGCCGTGCTGTGGAGGGCTGAAGCGCAGTGGAAGTTACCAGGTTGGGTGGGTTTGCTTTCTGCGTTGTGTGTGTCAGAGTTGACATCAGAGTTAAGGAGCTGAAGTTTAAGTATCAGTTGCCTACACCTGACACCCCACATGTGTTTCTATAAAGAAATAGATAAAATGATAATAATTGGAGGGGAGGGAGGGTGGTGATGGATGCTGACTTTTGGAGAGTGAGAATGTGTGGTTCTTAAGGGATGAGGCAGCGTGGTTATGGATGCCTGCAGAGGAATGAGTGAGGGAAGGAGTGATAAGGAAAGAAAAGAATAAAATAGTTAAAAAAAGAAAGGGAGTAGTGAAGGGTTAAGAATTCAGGAAAGGAAAGATGAAGGTAGGTAGAGAGACTTTAGCTTGTGTCAAAACAGGGTAAGAAAAGGAAGAAGTGGGAAGAACCTCAGTGAGAGACCTGCTCTGATGATTTTCAGGCTAATCGTGCTGTGGGAGGGATGAGTGGGGCACAGTGGGGCTGCATGTGGCTGTGTGGACCTGTACACATGGACACAGTTGCACTGATGCCAGCCCACACTTTGGGCCAAGCTGCTAGCCACTTTCTTCACTGTACATCTTCACCATCCTCCTCTTCCTCTCCTGCTTCCATTTCATGTAAAAAGAGGCCCTCGATTTTCTTTAATTTTCTGTGGGGTTGTTCCCTGTCTGGCAGAGAGTGACTGCTGCCTGCTCTAGTGATCAAGGAGGCCTCAAGGGTGCTTCTCCTTTACTGTGTTCCATTTCAGAATGTGAGAATTATTTGTGTATTTTATGATAGTATTTAGTCATTAAAAGTTCAGGTGCATCTTACAATAAGAGCACATTAATTGTAAAAGAAGAGGAGGAAGCAAAATTCCATGAGTAACAGGAATGTTTTGAAAAAGACTGAGGAAAGTGTTGCACTGGTAGGAATGAGGAAATGACAACGTAACTCTTAGGTTTGTTTTGGTTTCTTTTTAATGGGACTGTGAGGGTGGTGATGTCCAATCACTACCACAGCACAAGCCAGGCAATTCCAGCAAGTGTTTTCACTACTGTAATAGAATCCTGTGATGCAGAGCATCACTTCTGTGTAAGGGTATGTAAGGGCTTTTGAGTTAAGCTGCAGATAGCAGAAAACTTTCCCATAGTTAGACAAAACTATATACGATACAAATAGTTTGTTGCTCAGTTAAAACTTGCTTAGCTGCAGCTTAATCTTGCTGTGCTTTTTGTTCTCGCCACACTCTCCAGATCATAATTTGTAGTTGTGCACTCGGCTTCCTCCCTCTTTCAGTTGAATAGATAAAGTGTCTTTATACCAGTTCTGATTGTAAAGTCACTGTACTGTCACTTGTTTCATTTTCTCCCAGTTTACTGATGAAGCAATTACAGAACATTGGTCCAATAATAGAGTTGCAGGTGGAACATTTTGCTGCAGTTTTAGGAAATCATTTTGCTGGGTTTAGCAGAGAAGGAATTCAAATGACAGGCGTTTGTCTCATCAGTCCCTGTGGAAACCTTGCCCAACTAATGAGCCTCTGGAAGATCAGTGCTCATGCATGTTTGACTGTGTCTGTGTTCAGTGTCTGCTAGGCCAGAGACTGAGCTGGGTGAAGCCTCTCTGGCGCTGCCAAGAGCCACTGGGAGCAGGGGGCTCTGCATGGGGTAACCAGGTAACCAGGCTGGAGGCACTGGGATAGGTGGCAAGTGCTCTGAAGGATCGATGACATGGGCTGAAAAGATGAGACTAGGCATGTAGAGGCAAAGGGAAGACAGAGGCTTCCCAGATGAGGGCATGATGTGCTGATGGCAGATTGTTTACACTAATAGCTGGAAAAGCTAGAGCATAGAATCATGGAATGGTTAGGGTTGGAAAGGACCTTAAGATCATCCAACCTCCCTGGTCCCTTTCAGGTTGCTGGTACAGAAGCAAAGTCCTACCTGTGTTTGTGCTGTGAAAAGGTCCTGTGAAACGTGGCCATAACCTTATGTAGGGTGGTTCTGCTCAGACAATAGCATCCTACTGGTTTTTGTGCCAGCTTGGGTGTTCACTGTTTAAAGGTTTCTATCCTGGCTGAGGGAAAACTGACTACACCCAGTAGAATTTGTGCTTTTACCGATTTTCCTTTTTAGAAGAGAAAAAAAATTACATTAATCCTTTTCTAAAACTACAAAGTGAAGAATTTAGAAGTTGAGATCTTCCAGGATTGCTAAACTCAGTGTAAACTTGACATATTGTGTACAGTCCAAGAACAGAAACTGTTTTTCTCTAGAGAATACCTGTCTTGTCTTCTGCAGGGGGTGCTTTGGAGAGGAATGGAAAGTAGTATGCTGCAGTATGATCCATGTTTTATTTGCTGTATACACTGAGAGGTTTGGAGTTAACCAGACTGGGGATTGCAGGAAAAGAAAAGGCATGGTCTTGAGATTCCCAAACTGGATTTCATCCTTGCCATAAGTTCCGTTTTTAAGCAATGATAATCTTCAGCACTGTGTCCCTGTTGTCTTCGGAGATGTGTTTTTGAGCCATAGGGATGTGATCTGGTAGTCAGCTGCTTGCACCTTGTGTGAAGTCTGTCATGGACAAACGTGGAAGTATCATATTTGGGAATGCACAGCCTTCAGTTTGCCACTTCCTCGGTTTTTGATTTTGCTCTGTTAACTGTCCTTGAATGTAGGGGCCGATGTGTATGTGCTGTGTGATTGTGTGCTTGAGGACACCTGCTGTCTGAGCGTTGCTAAGATCTTTACATTAGAAATGGCAACAGAACTCTGTTGAAGTAATAGTTTTGTTACTTAGAAGGATTCTGTATGTAATTTCGTATGTTCCATTTGTGCAAAAAAGAAGTTAAAGGACCAGCTTCTGAGCAGAGTGAGGCTCACAGCTGGGTTTACCTCATGGGCATGTGTAGTACTTGTTAACAACCTGCCACTTGCATACAGACCTTTCAGGGAAGTGCCTCTGCTGTAGAAACATGTGGCAGGGACAGTAGAGACTGCTGCTGGGAATGATGTATGAGATGGTTTTGATGCTGGGTAGACACACTGTTGTTCACACTCCCTATATATTGGTGTGTGGGTTCAGGAAGAAGACATGCTTATGTTTCTGAAGAGCTTTTTCCCCAACCTTTCTCTATTTTATTATTTTTTTTTAATTAGGTATAAAGGTAACAGTAATCAAGCTTGGACTTGAGGTCAGTGCAGTGACACCAGATCTTGCTTTAATTAGGCATGGAAAAATGAGAATTGTTTTTGTCAGCTTTGTCAGTTGGGCATCAGGTGATGCCTAGGGCATGAGTAGCATAGTACACTGAAAATTAGCTATCAACTTCACATTGCTCATCCTGAGCCCTACGAACATTTATTATTCACAATGTATAGCATCCTTCCAGGTGTTGGACAGACCACACTGAGATTACAGTGCAGAAGGAAAAACAAGGAACATGTGACACAGGGTTAAGACTGCTGTTCACCGCTCCTTGTCCTGTCCCAGATTTGTTCTTTGGCTTTTCACAAAGTGTCTCCTGTCCCCTATATGTAAAATGGATGTGCTAAAATAGACTCACTTTTCAGTGAATTAGCATTCAGTCAACTTCAGTTGGTACATCCCTGTATAGAAATAACTAAATGGCATTATTTACCAGCTACTGTACTATTTTTTCCATTATTGAATGGAGCTCAAATGGATATATTGGGCTTTTTCAGCATGGAGAAGAGAAGGCTCCGTGTAGATCTTAGATCAGCTCCCAGTGCCTAAAGGGGCTACAGGAAACCTGGAGAGGGGGTTTGGACAAGGGCCCTCAGGTACAGGACAAGGGGAATGGCTTTAACCTGACAGAGGGGAGATTTAGGTGAGCTCTTAGGCAGAAGTTCCTCCCTGTGAGGGTGCTGAGGCGCTGGCACAGGGTGCCCAGAGAAGCTGTGGCTGCCCCATCCCTGGCAGTGTTCAATGCCAGGCTGGACGGGGCATGGAGCAACCTGGTCTAGTGGAAGGTGCCCCTGCCCATGGCAGGGGATTGGAATTGGATGAGCTTTAAGGTCCCTTCCAACCCAAACCAGTTTGGAATTCTATGATTCTATATTATAATGACTGACTTTACAAATTCTGGTTTTCTGCTTTCCTAATGTAGGCCCTTATGCTCGACAGCAGTTTTCTGTTATCGAATATTTATTATAGAACTATGCTCCTGGATTAAATATATCATGTTTTTATAATCTGTCTCCTTTAGAGTTGACAACAAAGGGAACCACACTAATGTGCACCAGGAAAGGGTCTTGGGAATCACTGGAGTAGTGTATGTGTTGTTAAGTCAGTTAGCTTTGTTCCTGCATTCGCATCATGGACAGGAACCTGACTTCTCTGTGTATCCTCCTTTCCCTGCAGGTATTGAGAACCTGCCATTTGAATTGCAGAGAAACTTCCAGCTCATGCGAGACCTGGATCAGAGGACAGAAGGTGAGGCTTGAAGATGGTTTTGTTGGTGAGACAGGAAGGATGCAGCTTGGCCAGTTTTTCCTTTCTTTGCCTTGATCAGTGAAGATCTCAGGGCAGAGGAGGAAGCCTACAGCTGCTCTGATCCTTCAGCCTCTCTTAATGGAGGGCTGTAGTGTGTGGGCATATGTGTGTACTTACGTATTTAATGGTGAACTTGTTTCAGACCTCAAGTCGGAGATCGATAAGTTGGCCACAGAGTATATCAGCAATGCACGGACTTTGTCTTCGGAGGAAAAACTGGGGCTTCTCAAGCAAATCCAGGAGGCCTATGGGAAATGCAAGGAATTTGGGGACGACAAGGTTCAGCTGGCTATGCAGACCTATGAGATGGTATGGAGGGGAGTGTCTAGTGTTTACCACGTGAAAGGCTGTGCTAAAGACCCCAGTCTTGGAAGGCCCTGATTTCTTTTCTAGGCCCTACCCCCTCTTGCTTCTCAGCTCTTTAGTGCAAGCCCCATGCCCTCTCCTCTTTGCCCTCCTGGGCTGTGTTCTATGGTAACTCGTCATCACTCTCATCTTCGCAGGTTGATAAGCACATCCGTCGGCTGGACACAGACCTCGCTCGCTTTGAAGCAGACCTGAAGGAGAAGCAGATAGAGTCGAGTGACTATGACAGTTCTTCCAGCAAGGGCAAGAAGAGTGAGTACCACCACTGGGCTGCAGATTGATACAGGAGGCAGCCAAGTGACTATGGAAGTGGTGGGGATGAAGGCAGGCACTGGAGTGGTACAGATCAAAGACTGTTACGCTGGAATCTGAAGGACAGGTAAAAAGATGGTGACTTGGGCTCTTCTTGTGTGTGAGCATATTCAAGGCCGCTAGATAAAATTAAGATGGGTGCATGGCCCAAAGCCAATACACGCTCTGAAGTGGGAGTGTATTGTAGTGGTGGAGAGGTTGTTACTATCAGGTGTCTATTTTGGTAGGGTGGCAGATGAACCACATTTGTTTCTTCTTACCAGAGGGCCGAGCCCAAAAAGAGAAGAAAGCTGCCCGTGCTCGCTCTAAAGGGAAAAACTCTGATGAGGAAGCACCAAAAGCTACCCAAAAGAAACTGAAGCTTGTCCGCACGTAAGTGTTTTAAGAGGTTTGTGGGAATGAGGAGCAGCACTACAGATCAAACCAAGAAGGCCTAGCCAACCTCCCTGCAAAGGATCTGGCACACACCCAGACTAGACAGTGTGTCCCCTGTCCGTTTTCTGGGAAGGAGGATGAAGGAGACCTTTTAATTCTTTCAGGGGAGTGTGGCATGAAGGGGAAGGCAGATCACTTCAGTGAACTTGGGTGTATGAACCATCTCTAGCAAACAAGGGCATTGTCTTGGGAGAAGTGAAGGGACACAAAGCCAGTTATTTTGCTGACCTACTTTATTCCTGTCTGCAGTAGCACAGAGTATGGGATGCCTTCAGTCACCTTTGGAAATGTGCACCCTTCGGATGTATTGGATATGCCAGTCGATCCCAATGAGCCTACTTACTGCCTCTGCCACCAGGTTTCCTATGGGGAGATGATTGGCTGCGACAACCCAGATGTAAGAGCCTGCTCTTGGTGTAAATGGAGGAGAAGGAAGTGGAGAGAGTCTTGCATGGAAAGTCTTGTCCTGCTTGGGCAGGGCATGATACATCAAGCAGTGACAAAAAGAGGGCTTACCTCAGGTGGTGTGGAAGGGTGGAGGGGTGGTTTACCAGGACTTGTTAAGTGCCTCTTCAAGTTTTCCTTGAAACGATGGGTTGTTTTCTTGCCCCCACACTTAGAAAGAGAAAAGGGGAGTTCTTGCTAACAATGTATAGGTTGGGTTTGAGTCTTCATTCCCTGATCACTGCTAGGGATTTAGGAGTCTGTGATCTAATGTTGGGAAATTGTTGTAGCCCAGAAGCAATGATTTCAAAAGAAAATGGCTTTTTGACTGACTGCTCTCTATCCCAACAGTGTTCCATTGAATGGTTTCATTTTGCCTGTGTGGGTCTGACAACAAAACCAAGAGGAAAATGGTGAGTGAGCAAGCAATATGGAGAGAGAGCACATTGGTCTTTGGGAAGGGGAGGTCCTGAGTGGCAGAAGGGGGAGGCTTTGTCAGGGACCTTGGAAAAGGTCCTTTGGGACTGTATGTTCGAGGTTCATGTCATGTCCTAAAAGCCTAAAGGCTTTTGCTTCCCTTTCTGTCAGGTTCTGCCCTCGCTGTTCCCAGGAGAGGAAGAAGAAGTAAAATCCCATGAGCCCTAAGTCCTGCTGCAGGAGCTTTCTTCCCCCTGTCAGGGCCTCGTCCCAGCTCCCCCAGCCCTTGAGGCCTTGGCTGGGGGGAGTCTTGCCCTGTTTGTGGTTTGGGCCCTCCCTGGAATGGTGTGTACCCTCACGGTGGCTTCTGTGTTCTGTATCCCTGGGTGCTTCCGAATCCCTAAGAAAAGCCCTCTCTGTGTACTATTCCAAACAGGTCTCTGAGCCTCAAAGGGAATGAATGAGGGCACCAGGGTAGCCACCAGATTCCCAGGGATTCAGGTAGCCCCTGATTTTCCTTCGCTTTCCTTCAGCCTCCTCAGAGTTCATTGCCTACTCTCTGCTTAGAGAACAAGGCTATGGGATGGGGGAAGGAAAGGAGGTAAGTCTTCAGCATTTTAGGTCTTTGATTTTCCTGGATTTTTTTCAGGAGAGAGGGAGTAACCAGGCCACTTCTTAATCTAGTGGGCTGGTTGAGAGACTGCAAACCTAATGTACTCCCTATCTTTAATCATTCCACTACTGGCATTGAGCAGCCTCTTTTGTTGGGGAGAGCAGGAGGAAGAGAGAGTGTTTAGAACTAGCTTTGTCTCTCTTATTCCTGGGGTAAAACCTGCGGGTCTGGGAAACACATAGTGTGAAGGAGGAAGAATTTCTGACCACACAGGGAGAAACGGCTTGATCTAGCCTGTCTTCCAGCTCCAAAATTCTGCCTTCCTTATTGTGCAGTGGTGCTTCTCCATTATGTTGATGATGGGAAGTTTGGGGATTCAGATCCCACTTGTATAATACAGAGTTAAATAAAGTTCATTGAAACAAATACTCCTGTTTACTTTGCTGTCACCTCCAAAATAAACTGCAGCAATTAGTCTCTTCAGTTACTCCTTCTCTCGCAGCTCTGCTTTTATTCTAAATTATGAATGTGATACAGCTTTTTCATATAATAATCCTGCAGTGTTAATAAGTGACATTCTGCCTAAGTCAGGCTTGGAAATGTCCTAATGTACTTGGAAAAGGTTACTAAGCTTTCTAGTGGCTGTGAAAAATACCTGCCTGTTCAGTCATGCCCTCACATGAGGGTAGACATTTATTCCCATTTCTGTTGGTGTTTACTTCGTCAGTTGTCTTCTCTTACTTGAGGAGAGGTGGAGATTATAGAAGGCCAACCCTCACTGTGGCTGTTGGGCAGTACAGCTGAGAAAACAAGCCAGCAGGACAAACCACGCACATCCAAGAATGTGGATAGGTTTTTCAGATATCCTGGTAACTTCCACCTTGGATCACCTTGATGCCAGAACCTCCATCTGCTGTTACCAAGATAATGTAAGGCTCCAAAACAATTAGTGAAGATGAGTCTCTCTTTGTAGGGTCTGGTGACTGTGGGGAGATGACCCATACTGAAGCTCCCCCTTTCCCGTTGTGTTGGCATGGCCTGGAGATTGATGAGCTTGAATCTCTCCTTCCTGCTTGTTTCTGCTGTTCAGGAGGGTTTAAGCTTTCCACCTGAAACATGAAGTGTTTTCCTCATAGCTAACTTGTATGAGGACTAATGGAGCATTTTTGTTCTTGCAGTCATGAAGCCGAAGTTCTTCTAGGGGTTCATTAGTAAGAGCAGTCAGAGGACTGTGTAGGTAAAGAGCAATTGCTACTCTTACCTTGTACAGCAAGCTTTGTATGCCCAAGCCTTCAGCTCAGAAGCTGGTGTTGAGTCTTCTGTTCAAGTGAGTTAGCATTCAGGCAGTCTTTGCTTTTGTGTCGAGGAGAGGTGCTCCGCTTCCCGTTTTGCACAGAAGTAAAACAGAGGTCTTACCCAGGCTACAGCTCACACAGTCTGTGGTGCTACAGTCTGGATCCCAGTCCCCAGATTGTCTTAGACCATTTTTCTGGGGCTTCCTTCCTGAAACAGACAGGAAGCATATTCTGGGAGACGTTGATTGTGTGTCTGGTGCAGTCTTTGTAACAGGAGGCACTGTGCCATCTTAAAATAGGTGAGAAGGCTGTGGGTGCTCGACTAACAGCCGTTCTACCATTGCATCCTGCCTCTGTCCAACAAAGGGGTGCTTCAACCAGCAGCATTCAGAGCACATTTACTGCAGCTGAGGGAATGCTCTGACATAGGAAGAGGAAACTTGGACTAAAAATTGAGACTTTTTAAATGGCTGACAAGTATGTATGCAAACGAAAGGATGTTGAAAACTAACCTTGGAAGAGAGGGGATAACAGCAGTAACTCTTCAATCTTTAATCACCAAAGGAAGAAAATAAAAGAATCAGAAGTCAGAAATGACGAAGTACAAAAATGAAGCCATTGGGAACAAAGCCTGTAAGCGACAAGGCTACAAACAGCAGCTTTTTTTAGAATGCCTTTTATTTGGGGTATAATTGAACATGGCACATGTCCATTACCAACTGCAGCCAGCAGAATTGTTTCTAATGAGAGGAGGGGGAAGTGTTCTGTAAATATTTATTCTGTGTTGGTGCTGGTGTCCTATGGGGATGAGGCACTTCTTAGGCAAACAGTAAGGAAGATTTTAAATAGCATCTACTGGGGCAAAGGATTTTTTTGATCAGCAGTCTTCAGTAAATGGTGCTTGTCAGCCTGTAAAAGCCACCCAAAGGCATCCATGGTCTGCTCCCTGTCAGGCTCTGGCCTGCCAAGGAAAGCCTACAAAGCTGGAAAAGAGCCAACTCTGTGCTGGTCCTTAACAATGGATGTCAAGAAGGCTGCCACTGCAGTCCAGATGTGAAACACTGAAACAACAGAGAAGTAAATTGCTTCTTTCTAAAACAAGCAGGAAATCCAGGTCAATAGCAAAATAAAAGCAGGTTAAGTAGCAAAAAAAGGTCAATCAAAAATGACTTATTTTTAAGATCACTGTAAATCGTTACCTGTATCACTGCAGTGCTATGAGATCTGAAAAAGTTTACTTCTAGACTCAAAGTGCTTAAAGAGGGGATACACTAAGTTAAAGTAATCATGAAGTCCTTTAAAGAACTGGCTAGCTTGCAGATTTCTGGAGCAGCTGTCAGTGCAACATAAACACTTTCTAAAATGGAGCTGGAGAAATTGCCCTTTAGAGTGATTGGAAATAACCTAGTTGATGAGTAAAGTCAAGTCTGGATTTCAGGAAGCTGGAGCCATGCAGGAAGACAAGAGAGAAGACTTTTGCTGGCCTCTTGAGTCCGCTTATTAATAACAATTGACCATGCACTCAGGTGACCGGTTTATCTTGTGTTTGCCCCAACTGTGGGCACCATTCCTAGGAAGCTGGGCAAGTGTGGCTCATGCTGCTGTTCAGCAAAGTATTCCTCTTTCCAGCAAGCAGATGCACTCAGCAAGCTCTGTTCCCTGGGCTCTGCCACCACCGTGTACGTTGTGTGATGTGCACCATCTGTTGCCTTCCACCAGTGGGACCACCTTCTTGTTCCAAACAGCAAGCAATTAAACTAGTACCCTAGCTCAGCAACATTCAGCCTGTCATTAAATTCTCTTAAGGTATTATTTACCCAGCTCTACGCTCAGAGCCATGTGGTAGCCAGTATCTTACTGTTTATTGAACATGTTGACTAAGGCTTCTGTGCTTCGGCAGGCTATTTGAGGCTCAATTATAGGCTGTGTTTCAGTGATGCTCACTTGATTTTGGGGGATCAATTCTTGTGAGACAATTACTGCATATAAATACATATATCTTGGAATTGGAAGGTACCCCTGGAGGTCACCTGGTTCAGCTTCCACTTCAAAGTAGGGCTGCTGTCAGTCCTAAACCAGGTCAGATATATGCTGAGTAGCATCACACTCTGTGGCAGAACAAGCTAGGGTAAGAAGCAGCTCCAGGTGAGAGGTGATGTTGCTGAAGATCTTAAGGCTTGATTCAAGAACTGGCCAAGTCAGTCCAAAGATCTCCAGATACAGCAGAGAAGAAGAGCATTCCTAAGATATAACTTGCTTATACTGGCTGAAAATAGGGCCAGGTCCTCCCATGATGTTTCTCATTGAAGATAGCAGATATACATGGTTGAGAAGTGGTGACAGCAGGATTGCTCCCCTCACACATCTACTAAGAAATGGGTGGCAGTTCCTCCAAGTCCCAGGAAGGAGGGATATGAAGCATGTGTAATTATTCTCCTAAGTGAATTTTTAGCTAAAGCACAGCAGGACACTAAAGTGACTGAGCCCAGTGAACAGTCTTTGGCAAACTGGCAACAGGAACATTAACGTTTCCTATCTCCTGGAGCAGGGCAAGGCACAGTGGCCAAGAACCAAGTGCTCATCAGTAGATTACTCAACCTAGTGTGATTATCCAAACTCCAGAACAAGCGTAAGGGGCCTGTACGAAGCAGACCTGGCTGGTTTGACAGCTCCTGAGCCGTTCTCCTTTGTATAACCAACCACAGCGCTGCTTTTTCTCTGCTGTGTGAAGCAGGAGGACAAACTGGGGGGATGCTGGCAAGCCGAGTGGCAATATCTGCAGTGCATGCAATCCCTGACTGCTCTAAAGCAGCAGCAAAAGGCAAGGCAGGCTGCAGCATTACAACAGTTAAGGACTGACAGAAGGAAACAAAATGTCCCATCTTGCTTTCCAAAGGAAAGTGAACGTTTCTTCAGTGGAGCTCACAGTTACAGTATTAGAAGAAATATAGATGCTTTTATCAAATAAAATGCATTTCATTTGTAAAAATAGCCAAGCATCTTCATTTCTGCTAATTTATGGTTCCTCTTCTGAGCACATGAAAGAAATGGGAGAGTTAGTTTAAAAATTACGGTTTTGCCCTAATCTTGAGGACAGGCAAACCCATGGCAAACACTCAACTCCTAAAGCCTAGTGTGAAAAAGTATTCAGCAAGTTGCCCACTTTGGTCTGTTTTTGCAGATGTACAATGTAATTTCAGTGCTTTGGATTGCTGCCGTTGAAGGAATAACTCATTCAACACCAGGCTGGGAGGAGAAAAGGCTGGAGTTATTGTTTTACACATCAATAGCAAACAAGAAAATAAAGTTTGACCCCATGAGATCTCCTCACTCCAAAAGCCTGAAGAATCCAGTCATTGGAAGAACCCATTCAGTTACCATGGGAAGATCTAGGTGGGAAGAGACCTCTCTGGAGCTCTGTAGACCAAGCCCCTGCTCTCACTAGGAATAGCCTTGTGCTTAGATCAGGTTGTTCTTGCACTAAACGAGTCCTTGAAAAGACCAGAGCAGTTCAGTCGAGCACTCTTTTATGAATCCACTCCATTAGAGGTTGTCTCATGAATTCAAGAAACCATTTTTAAATGCTGGTTTTGCAATCAATTAAATATTCCATTTTCTAAATGACAAGTAAAAAATTGCTTCATTCACTATTTCCTAACAAAATAAAATGTAAATTGTCTGAATTAATGCATGTTATAACTGTACAGTGCTTGAATAAATGTGAATAGATTAACATATCCAGCAAATTAAAATGAGTGCCAATTTTAATGTAAAGTCTATATTTATCAGTATATCACATAGCTCTCAGCCAGTGACAGTAAACCTACAAAAATACAGTACAAATGTGGAATGAAGACTGTTTAACCTGTGATTAAAGTCAGCAATTCGTAGCATTATGGTTTAAATCAGAACATTCTTTGACGCTTTTGTCTGTGGAGATGGAGAACTCAGCCCTTGTCTGAGGGGGTTGGTACCCCCATCCCTTCACACAGGCCCATAGCTACCAGGATGAAGGTGTTCTGAATAGGGCTCTTGAAGTAGTCTATTCTTCATGAAAGACCTAGAGCTGAACTGGAAGAGGACCTTTACTCAGTTGCTGTGCAATGACTCTCACGGCTTCTTGGCTGGGCTGTCCACTCTGCCCTAAGCACCAGGTGGCAGCTGGTCTAGAGCCCAGGCATGCTCCTGAGAAGCAGCTCTGCATCCTCCAGATGCAGCACTGGAGGACGTCTCAATCCACCTCTTGTAGGTGCTGGGGGGGGCACTGCTGTTTAGCCAGCGGCTTCATTGTCCCACGTCTCAGCCTACTACTGCCATCTTCTGCCTCTCCTTGAGGTTCCCCCACCAGGATACTTGATTTAGGGGCAGATGGCTGAACATTGGCTCTGAAGCTGGTTTTTCTTGTGACTTTATTGCTGCTGGTGGGGCCTGTGCTTTGAACACAGACGAGGCCAGGGCACAGGGGCCCGGTTTTCAGACATTGCTGCTGCTGGTGGAGTTTGTGGTGGAACGCACAGAGTGGGAAGTGCTGTGAAACAGCCGCAGTAAGAGAACGAGGCTCACTTGCAAGAGGAGCTTGTCTGCCGGAGGTGGTCCCTCACAAACCACACAGGCTCTTCCGAAGCTCAGAAGCAACACAGCAATCAGATGGCAACACGGAAAACACAACTCCAGCGAGTTGTTATCCTGCTGTTACACATTCCTGCTGCTGGCACCAGGTACACTGTGGGCCTGGGGCTTACAACTGTGTACATCAGCTCAGGAACAGCATCTGCAGGAAACTCCATTTCATGGTGGTTCTGAGAACAAGATTGCAAATCTGCTTCAGTGCAAAAGCGACACAGCTTCTACTGCGTCGTCACGGATGAAGGCTTAAAGGTGCCAAGTTAACCCTTGGGAGTCAGCAAATACTGGATTAACATCCCCGCTGTGCTGCGCATTACTGACCCCTCTCATTGCTTGATGCACCAGAAAGGAAGACTCCCCCATAGCTTGCAGCACTGATGCATCCTGTCCAAAGGACTGTTCTTCCCACAGAAATGACTTCTTTTTTTTTGTGGTGGCTTAAAACACAAGTGCCCCATAGCCAGCAGCAAACCAGGCTGAACGACACAGCACAGCAGTGCCTCCTGCACTCGCAGTCTCCAAGCCTGCTGGGTGCACGCTGCAGACCAGCTTCTCAATGCGTGTGGTGCATTGACCGTAAGAGTTCCTTGAAGGATTCAGACAACCTGAACCAAATGCAGGGCATGCCACAGCGCATGAGAAGTACTAAGTGGCCAACCTGTCCTCACATGGCTAATCACTTTCTTTGCAACTATACAGTAGCTCCCACAGGCATTGCTACTTAGAGCACCAACCAAGCATCAAGCTCTGACAGCTCCTTCATCTTCTGCCTCATGTTTGAGTTCTCAGTTTATGCCCAGGGACTCTGGTCCATTCGTTCTTGTTTCCTGTTTTCATAAGCCATAAATCTCTTTCTGGCACATGTACACACGGGCTGTGTAGCCAGCACCTGCCAAACATTAATAACACTGTGTGACATGACACACTAGAGTGCTTCCCTACATCATGTATTTCCATCAGGCACTGAGGTCAGCACTGAGCAACTCTGGGAAGCTGCGCAAGAACTCAGCCAGGGCTCTGTTGTCATGGGGGAGCAGAGGGGATTAACAGAGCTGGGCAGCTGAAGGACCTGGAGTTGTCTAACATCAGCTAATAAGCAATATATCTTAAGCTAAGCAATGGAAGACTAGGAACTGGTTATAATTTGCAAGTGCCAGCGGCATTGCCTGGTTTAATGTGAGTGGCAGGAGGTGGCTGGGAGATCTCTCCTGCTCTCTGTCTTTCTAAGAAGCTGCAAAACCATCCTAAAGCTCAATGCTGTTGATAAATGGTCAGGCTTCCAGCTTCTCAGACACGTTACCTTCCAACAGGACATCTTACAGCAAACCACAGCTTGTCTCTTGCAAGGACCAGCAAAGCCACGTGCTGTTGCCAGACACCTGTATAATGGACTGAAGTGATTTGAGCTTTCACTGTGATAGCCTGTATGGCTACTCAGGGGACAGGCAGGTGGTGTGCCAGCCTTGCAGTCACGGCCAGGGCATCCGCAGCACTCTGCTGCCATTGCATGTGTTGCAGTATACACTGCATACTGCTCCAATCTCCTGGGCTTTATGTTAGAAGTGACTCCTTCAGCAGCAGCCTGCTACACAGCGAAAACTTCCTCTGTTTTGCCTGCAGCTCCTCTTCGGTTTTGTAAGGGTGCCAATTCCCAGGCAAGCGGAGGCTGTGGGGTGATGCAGCGGCTGCACAAAGCCACTGTGCTGCCCTGCGTTCTGCTTACGGCTGCACTTCTTGTAGCTGCTGTGCCAGGCGTTTTCTTTCCAACCTCCCTGACAGCTGCTTGCCCGTGGTGGTGATGGTCGTGTCTTTCCCCCTCACATCACAAAGTGCCCAGCCATGGGAAGTGCTGCGTTGGTGGCAATCGACAGCGTGCACATGTGGGTCGCTGTGTCTGTGCCCCACGCATTGGTCTCTGCAGTAAGAACCAGCGTGGGCACATGGGTGTGGGTGTCCCTCAAACTCAGCCCTTGGGGATTCTGGGCACCTCTGCACTGGTGGTCCCAAAGCCCCTTTTGTTGGCACCATTCCCACTTTTGCCTGAGAAAGCTTTCCCATGCAGAAAGCGGTGCTCAGGGCACCCATGCTGGAGGCAAAGGGAGATCAGCGAGTGCTCCATGGGGGGTCAGAAAGTGGCACGGCTGCCCAGAAAAGATCAAGCCATCTTCCCCCTGCATCCCAAAGGAAGCCAGTGCTGGGATGCATACCTAGGGAGGCACGGGGGGTTGTCCTCAATCCCTTGCAGTTGGAAGAGGTTTTGTTGCCTTTCCCCTGCAGAAGAGCACAAAATGCTTTGGGACATAAGGTACCCCAAAGGTACAACTTTGGGGGCACTCTCAGCACAGGAGTAGCCTGGCTATGCCTCAGATGCTGTTGCAGGTTGCTGCCAGCCCCCACTGTGTCAGCGAGCAGAGGGGCAAGCTCCCTGCTTGGCTCCCATTCCCCTTGCTTGCCTTGTCCCGGTAGTGGCACAAAGGCTTGCCTTCCTCATGGGGTGCCCATCTCCCCCCAGCCGCGTGTTTCAGCCCCCCTCCACGTGCCCTTCCCCAGCCCTGCTGTGATGTCGTTCCCTTCTCATTCTGACACCACCTCCTTCTCGTTCCACCGTTGCCCCGGGCCACCAAGGAGAACCCAGTGCTGAGGCCTGGGGCAGACATGCTGAGGCTGCTGTGCCTAGTGGGTGAGTGCCCCTGCCTGCTCCCTGCCCACCTTCTTTGGGCCACCACAGAGGCAGTGCTGGAGGGAGGCTGGAAGCCCCTGCTGATGCCACCCCTCATTCCTGCCCCACTAGACCTCCCCACTGGGACCACAGGCTCTGCCTCCCCCAGGAGGGTGGCTGGAGGGACATGGGGCTGGGGCAGAGCATCCCTGCGGGCGGTGCAGGAGGCAGTGGGAAAGGACCCAGCTGAAGGCAAAGGAGAGAAGGGAAAAGATGGAGGGATGTCCCCATGGAGGGGCTCAGGCCCCTGGTGTGGTGGAGTGGGCAGCTCACAGAGGTGGGAGCAGAGCCTGCATCATTGTGGGTGCCTCCAGAGGCACGAGGCAAGTAAGGCTTTTGTAGGGGAAGAACCAAAAAAAATCCCTCAAACTAAATAAAACCAAAAGTAAAAATCTCTCTCCTCTACCCAAATCAAACTCCCCAAACTCCCAACTTCTAACATTTTAATTTTTATCCTATTTTTCTATTAAAATTTTTCCTTTTTTCTTATTTTTCTTGTTTCTTATTCTTTTTTCTTTATTTATATTTTCCTTGTAACTTTTTCTTTTTTTCTCTTCTTTCTCTTTTTTCTCTTCTTTCTCTTCTCTTCTCTTCTCTTCTCTTCTCTTCTCTTCTCTTCTCTTCTCTTCTCTTCTCTTCTCTTCTCTTCTCTTCTCTTCCTCTTCTCCCTTCCCTTCCGTTCCCTTCCCTTCCCTTCCCTTCCCTTCCCTTCCCTTCCCTTCCCTTCCCTTCCCTTCCCTTCCCTTCCCTTCCCTTCCCTTCCCTTCCCTTCCCTTCCCTTCTTCTTTTTCTTTTCTCTTCCTCTTTTCTCTTTTTCTCTTTTTTCTTTTTTTTTCTTTTAAAACATTTTCCTTTTTTCTTGTTTTTCTTTTTCCTTTATTCTTTTTTCTTTACTTTTTTCTCTTTCTCTCTCTTTTTTTTTCTTCTGTTTTTTTGTTGTTCATTCTTTTCTCGTTTTTCCCAGGGGTCCTGGTTCCCCCAGCGCCCTGCAAACAGGGGTGATGGAGCTGATACCCCATGCCCCACTCACCACCAGCAGACAGGAGCAGGCTGCTCTTTCATTTCCCCTCCCTGCTTGTCCCCATGCAGAAGGATTAAGCACAGCCTACATTTCCCCCAGGTCTGCTGGCCTTGCTCATGTCCTGTGTCGCCCCTCCGGTGAGTCCTGCTCCGGGCAGCCCTCTGTCAGACAGAGAGTACCGGCTCTTCTTCGCCCACCTGCAGCCCCCCTGGAAGGCAGAGGTGTCCTGCCAGCTGCGCCAGGTACACGGCTGCCTCAGCCCCATCATCCTGCAGCTGGACCAAGAGGAGAACCATGGCCGTGTCCCCAACGGTAGGGATATTGCTCCTCCTGGAGCAGTGCCTGCTGTTTCTATGCCCCGCAGAACGACCCGGGATTGAGGGAATGGGGATGGGGATGAGTTGCAATGGGTTGGTTTGGGGTTTCTAGCCCAAAGTCCAGTGTGGAGCAGGACACTTGCAGCACTAGAGCACCCTGGTTTTGTTCAAGGGAGTTTGGTTTTGTGGTCTCTCTGGGCACCCCTTCCAGTGCTGCACTGCTCTCCTGGAATAAAAAAAAGCTTTTTCTAATGGGCATTCCTAACCTCCCAAACAGGAATTGCAGTTTCTTCCCTCTTGTGTTGTCTGGCACCACCAAGAAGAGATTGATTTTGTCATCTTGTAGCTTTCCTTCAGGTCCTTGTGGGCTGCTGTTAAGTCACCTTCCCACCTCCTCTTCACCCAGCTGAAGAAGCACAGCTGCCCTGAACTCTCTTCACGGGTCATGGGCTGAAAGCACGGCCAATTTGTTGGCCCTTCATTGAGCTCTTTGTCTTCTCCACATCTCCATTGGTGGGGCAAAAAACTGGCCACGGTTTTCTGAAGCTTGCTGAAGCTCATCATCTCTTCCCAACCGTTCATGTTGCAACCTGACTGCCTGCTTCCAGCTTGATGTGGGGTTTAACACAGAAGCTTGGTGTACAGACTCTCATGGGCCTTTAAGAAAGCTTGAGCTGATAAGCTGCTTTTTTAAGTGTTAAACATTTCAGGAGCCAAGAAACATCCCAGTTCAGAAAGCGCCATAGCAACAGCACCCTTTAAATCTCTGCAGAGATACTTTCCCTGCACCCCTGCATCAGAGAATTTAAGTGGCATAATTATATCTGTGCAGCTGAAAAACTTGGGACTACTTCTGTTGTATTTTTCTTCAGAGGAAAAAAAAAATAGGACCAATTTTCTCATAAAAAATATGTCTTTATATTTAGCTATGAACGTCAATGAACTGAATGATCAGCCAACTGTGCTTATTTGGACTGCAGCTTGAGGGCAACTATTTCTTGTTTCTGCAGCTGTGTCAGGGGAATGGGTCCCACTCTGCATCACCAGACCCAGGGATGAGTCCTGGGCTCCTCGCTCGCTTGCGGGCACCTGCGATCTACAGTGCCATGGTACTAGGTGCACCCAGGGTTCCAGTGCACCATCTGTCCATGGCTCCTCGCCTGGTGATGCCCTTCACCCTAGCACCACTTTTTGGCATATCCAGACACGTTCCCACTACTGCTGCCTTTGGAAACTCAGGTGCCAAGAGCAGAAACACCTGGGAATTCCAGGAGATGTGACAATTTTGCAGGATGCCCTCTTTGCCTTCATCCCTCAGCCCCACACCCCCATCTGCAGACTTTATTCCCCTCCATAGTCCCCTTTTTTCCAGCCTTAGGGCTACTTTGGCGCATGTTGCGGCCGGGCTGAGCGGATGAGCAGACACAGCAGAGCACGTGCCCTCATGTGTTTTGTCTCTAGCATCCTCACAGCTAAAATGGCAGTGCCGTCTATATCCAAGTATTCATGAGCCTCTTCAGGTGTGGTGCTGAGGAAAGCAGTTACCTTGCCTTTCAAACAAGGGAAGCCTACATGAAGCCTTTTAACACTCTTTGCTGTGGAAGATGGCTCAGGAAGATGTTTTCCTGCTGAGTGCATGCAAACATCTTGGCTGGTTCCAGCTCTTTAGTGATTGTTAATTAATTGCCCCAATTACCTTCCTTTTCCCCCATGCTGGGAGCTCCTGTGAGCTGGCCACAAAGCCCAGAGGCCTCCTGACACCCAGCAGAAGCTGTAGGTGTTTGCAGCAAACCAGCAACCACATGGGCAGGAGGAGCAGAGGAAGAAGGCAGAAGATAATATTGATTAAACCAAGCAGCTACTGCTGGGAAAGGCTGCTCTTGGCAGGAAAGTCAGAGGATTGAAAGCCAGGCAAGTATTTCCATAGGGGAGATGAGATGATGAGAGAAAAGAGGGATCAGTGCTAAAGGAGGCAAGCTGCTCGTCAGGCCATGTCATCAGTGTTCAACAGACTGTGAGAGAGCTGAACCATCATGGAAATAAAGAGACCAGCAAAGAGAGCCCACGGGAAATTTCATCTGTGTCAAGTTTTCCTTCTCTTCCCAGACGCTGGAATGAAAATGTGCTTTTCTTCTTCTTCCACACCAAAATGGAACATTTCTGTATCAGCACAGGAATGGTTTCTGGCAGGATATAGCAAGCTGTAATACTCCAAGTCTGGCCTGGTGTGCACTGCTGGGAACGCTGGGAGAGCCAGGCTAACAGTGGGGTTAGCAAGTGGTTGGGCTTCCTGCCCTGCCCAACGGCAGCAATGTTCCTTTGCAAGCAGTGGCTGTGTGATGGAGTGTAACTCTGCAGCTCCCAGTCCGCACAGAAGAGCATTGCACTGGCTGAGTCCATACCTCCACATCCTGGAGAGATTCCACAGAGCATCAGCAAAGGGCACAGTGGGGATCTGGCATGTCCCCTACAATCTGGGCACTTTTCTGGGCTGGGATCCTGGTGGATACCTGAAATCCTACTTCTGCTAGTGAATCCATATGCTTAGCCCAAGAGAAGTGCATACGGTGTAAAAGATGGTGTACAAGCAACTAAGAGGAGAGCAGTGCAATTCCACTACTAACCTGCTCTGCCTCAGCCAGCACTTAACCCATTTGGTGTGTGGAACGGGCTGGCGGTGAGCAGAGAGAGCACAAGATTACCCCCTCCCCAAACCTACCAGGGTTTTCAGCTATTCTGCAATCCCTGCAGGAAGAGCTGCAGCTTTTAAGCCAGTAGTGTCAGCAGCGCTGGTCAAGACTATGGTGCATGTGTGTACAGGCACAGACTTTGCCAGTGGCATCTTGGCCCTGTGGACTTTGCTCCATCCCCTGCACAGATGGAATCAATGTCAGACTATTTTGCCCTGAAGAGGTTGTCTCCTCCGGTGATGTTAGGCCCACTCCAGCCACCTTTTTAACCCATCACATCTCTGCTTGCCTTTTTTCTATTTTTAAATCCTTCAAGGACTGATAATAGAGTCTTTATCAGGAACTGGAAACAGCAGGTTTGAGTCTCTGTAAAAGGGAAGATAACCATGTGAAAAAAAGGCAGAAGGGCAAACTGAAAAGCCGGGTAGTTTGGAGGGAAAGTACATGTGTCACCTGGGATTGGGAGCTGCAGTAGCACAAGGCTGTGGTCTCCACTTGGAGGCATAGCTTCAAGCACAAGCTGCTCTGAAAACAGCTGTCCAGGGGTCCCCACCTCTTGCTGCACCCAGCCCAATGGGACAAACAAGCCTGCATCCTGCCCTCATCCCACATCTGTCTCTCACCTCTCTCCAGGGCCAGTCTGCTCTGACTTCCAGGAATCACCGTGGTTTCAGACCTTCTGCCACTTCGCCCAGTACCGCTGCTTCACACACCAGTTCTACATCAAGGTGTGGTGCGAAATTCCGGACAGGGTGGGGAACCCCTTCCTGGGAGATGGAAGGAGTGAGGAGGAAGGGAACATAGCACAGTGGGACTCATGTTTCTGCCTCTCTCCTCTGCTCAGCGAATCCCATGCCTGAATTTGTCTCCAAAAAGCCTTCTCCCGACGGGGCAAACCCACACAGGGGGCTCCTGGACAAGGGGCGAAAGCTCCCCTGCAGAAGAAGGTATGGCTGCACCTATCCGTGCTGGGTATCCCTGCTCTCCTGCTGATATCCCATAGCTGTTTTCCCCCCTCACATCAGCTTTCTGGCTGGCTCAGTACCCCCATCCCACTCTCTCCCCAGCTCCAGGGCCAGCTTTCTTGCCTGCTGACAACCTGCTTCGCGCCAGCGTGGACACTCTCCTGAAGTACTCCTACGCGCTCTCAAATCAGAAACCAGTGCCGAGGAACCTTGCCCTGAGCACAACAAAGCTGCCGACAGCCCAGCAAGGCAGGGGGCTGACCCTGCCAGTCCCACTTACCCCTGCCCCAGTGCCTCCCTGGCTGGGATCCCCTCCGGAGCCAGAGCAAGCCTGGGAGCAGCACCTGCAGAAGGGCATCTGGCAGCTGATCCACATGGCCCTCGACTTGGAGATGTCTCAGGTGGGCAGGGAGGGCTTTTCTCTGAACTCCAGCCCCCAGCCAGACTCGGAGAGCACAACAGGCAGCCCTCAGGAGGAGGTGCAGGAAACGGCATTCCGTGGCAGGTAAGGGGAGCACCCATCTCCCTGCCTGCCAGGGTACCACATGCCACCCGGGCAGGGATGTCCTAATGCGTACCGGCACATGGTATTCACGCTCCTGCCCTCAGCTGGTGAGTGCAGGCAGGCTTTCTGGAGCAAGATGACCCATACAGAGCAAGACTGCGGCCGGGGAGCCCCCTCCTCCAGCGCAGAGTGAGCAGGGAGAGGGTGACCCAGCACTGCTAGCTCCTGACAATGCTATTGCCTCTGCATCCTAAGCAAAGTGGATATAGGCCTTTGTTGCAGGCAGGGCTTTCTCGTCTGCAGGTGTATCCCCACCCTGTGGTCATCTGCAGTGTGCAACCACCTCCTGCTCTCATCCTCCCAACTCCTGGCAATCTGGGTGACCTGCAGAAATAGCTTCCTTGGGGTAAACATATCTCACTGTGCAACGTGAAGCAGATGTTTCTGCTCTGCAGAGTGCTCTGTCCTCACCCAGGTAGAGCAAAAGCAGCCCTGGGATAGAAGTCAGAGCCAGGAGCACAGGGCCTTGCTCCTGGCTGTGCAGGACCACTACTGCTCCTTGAGCATGTCTCTGTGTTCTGGACCTGTGCATTGCTCTTCTTAAGGAGTTTCTGATTCCAGGTTCTGGCTTTGAAAGCAGCTTCATGCCCTGTGACAGCCCAGCTTACTGCAATCCTTTTACACACCCCTCTTAGATTCTCTGGTCTAGGGATGCTCTAGGAGCTTGTCAAGCATCTTGATTTCTTCTCAGGTGATCTGCTAGGATCAATTTGCCTCTGTCCTCAAGCAGCTGAGGTGAGTCCAAACAGAAAAGACCTGCAAAAGGATTATTGTTTTCATTCAAATTTACTTTTTGATCATTTAGTCCTTTGTAGCTGAGGATCACTTGCTTTGACTGAGTTGCAAAGATTACTTTCCTTGCCAAGAGGAAAAACAAAAATGCTGTGTAGGTGTACCTTTCATAGAGAAATCATGCTGTTTTCAAGTCTGTTGCTGGCTAGTGATGTTCCTGCAAGCACACGTTTTGTGCACCACTGTACATCTGTGGGGTCTATTAAACACACTGCACGCTACTACAGTTAACCAGAGCTCCCACTTCTGCATGTAAAAATGAATTGCATCCTATTGTTAAAGCTGTAACTGTCCTTGTGCAAGGCTGTAACTTCTGTCATCCTACTTCCTCATATTATTCCTATTATATTCCTAATTTACTGCTTGACGAACTTCTTCTTGTGTATGTACTCTAAGGCAAAATTCCGTTTCATTGAGGACATGTTCATTTTCCCTGCCTCTGAAATTGAGCCTTGCTCTGATTAAGTTACATTGGGATTACTGCGGGTCTGCTGTGATTGCAGATGACACTCACTATGCTGCTGCAGAGTTTCTCAAAGACCCTAAAGCTGACTGTGTGTCTGTAACCCGGCAGCCGAGCCCCATCAATCATGCTAAGCAAAGCATAAACCCAAGTGAGGATTAAAAGGCAAGATAGACCATGCCTGTCAGCTTTGCTGCTCACCACATCCTGCTTCCTCGCAAAGGGACTTCAATGCGTGACCTAAAAAAAGAGCAAAATGCTTTGAGGCATTTCCATTCCAGCAAGAGGAGCAGTGCTGGGTGGGACTGGTCGCCGTGCAGAGGTGCCATTCAGCACCTGGTTTAATGCAAGGTGCACAGGGCTGTGACAGGCACAAACCAGGGCTGCGTGTCCTCCCTAAGGTCTTATGTCCAGCAGGTCACAGATCCCTTCTTCCTCGCTCCTGCTTGTGGTGGCTGCTCTGGTAGCTCTACCAGCTTTCATAGTACCTGCTGAAGCCAGCTATGACCTTTAGAGAGAGACAGGCCAAAGGCAGTAGTATAACAAGGTGAGGAATTTGCAGCACTGTTTTGTGGTCTTTCTGCTAGCAGTGAGCCGTTATGGGAGGGAAATGTCTCTTAGTGCACTTACTTTCCATTTCTAGTCCTTATTGTGCTTTCTGCTCCACAATTAATGAGCTATTTATTTCCAAGTATTTCCTCTCCACAAAGTTACCTATATAGGATGATTCAGCCTTGCTAAAAAGAGCTCTGTGGCTCTTCCATTGTAAAGCCCATCCAGCTCTCATTTTCTGTGGCAATTTTCAGTGTCCTTTCAAAACATCCACACGCTCCAGCTCTGCGTGCACCATTCAGCAACGGGTTTTGGCAGTTGGGTGTGCAGAAGGAGTTCAACCTCCTTCCCCTGCTCTTCTGTTTGCACACAGGAATTGCATTTGCCCTTTTCCCCATGGCTTTCTGCTGGCGCGTTGTTTGTCTGCTGCGACCCCTACACCTCTCGCAGTGTCAGGGCTGTCCTGGATACAGCCCGCACCCTGTTGGTATTTGTGTGTGGATGCTCATGAGCCCAGCTTCTCCAACAAGGCTGAGCAGAGCCCTCCCAGTGGCTGCACCCTCCTCCTCCTGTTTTACCCCTCCAAGCAGTTCCTGTGTTGCTTATGTACTTCATCCCCAGCAGCTTTAAGATCAGACCATTCATTAAAAATACCATCCCCAGAAAAACACCACTCTTTAAGACTTAGCATCATCACCTGTCTGCAATTCCTTTTCTCACTTTGGTCTGGTAGTGCAGGATGGGACCCATTCCCCTCACATTTCTCAGCTGCTTCAGGAACTAGCTGTGACTTGGGGATTATGTAGTGGTATCTTTTGACCATTCAGTGAGCCCAGGGATCAGTTTAGTGTCCCACTATTGCTACTGTGCACAACTAACTGTGAAAGGGGGATCGTAACAAGGCAGGTTTGCCTCTCACCACCAGGCTAGATGAAATTCAAATGCTCCCAGGCTTCTGGGATTCTCAAAGCAGGGGTCTCTCAGTGTCTCAGGGGCAGAGGTAAAGGACTGCAATATGAACAGGTCAGCAGGAGAGATGTGTTTACATCCCCATCCTCCCAATAGCTCCTGTGTCAGGTTACTTTCTGGGTTTGATCTGTCAGGTACCTATCCAGCCTGCCTGTCTTCTTGGCATGCAGGCCAAGATCTCTTTTGTTTCTGAAAATGCTAAGAATGGCTATTTCCTTAGTGGTTTTAGTTTCCTGCAGCAGCTGCCCTAAATCAGAGGTTACAAAGTGCTAGAGAGCTGCTGTTTGCTCCTTATAATCTTTTTTGCTTGCCTCAGGTATTCACTCCATCTCACACAGCCAGCCAATATTGGAGAGGTTCAGCAGCTGAAAGTTAATGGCCCAAATCCTTGTCATCATGACGAGGGAAAGGTGGATGTTGTTACCTAGCACTCTTCAGAGATACGCTGAAGTAGGCTCTGTGTGTGTGTCACTCCGTGTCTTGAGATATTAGAGCAAGACAGGCTTTTACCTGATTTCTTCTCTTTTTGCCTTTGAGCAATTACTGATTTGGGCCCACAGATTCTTCTTAATTACATTTTTTCACATTCCCTTTGAAATTGCCTCCAAGTAACTGCTGGGCTTTTTCCAGGTTAGGCCACCAATGTGCAGAGGTACCAAGCTAGGGAGGGATTTGCATTAGAAAATTGCTTTAGACCTATGACTTTCCCTGATGCATGGTGAAACTTATGTACATCCACTGACATACTCAGCACCATGTCAATGACTACAGGGGACCAGCAGCAGTGCTGTTATACTCTGCAGGGTCCATACTGTTTGTCTATAATACCACTGTGATGGGACCCAAAGCCCCAGCACTGCCATAAGGCAGCAGCAGTGGGAGAGTGGCTGTTTACATTGAAGATCAGTGCCAGGGTGCTGGGCATCGCTAGGAGAGAAACCAGGGACAGCCCTGGGGTGTAGCTAGTGCCACGGCATTGTGGATTCCAGGTGCCCGCAAGCAAGGGAGGAGCCCAGGATCTCTCCTTGGGTCTGGTGATGTGGGGTGGACCCATTCTTCTGACACTTCTCAGCTGCTTTCAGGAACTGGCTGTCACTCGGGGATGATACAGATGCATCTCACTCATCCAGAGGTGGTAAACCAGCTGCTGATTTTGTAACCTTGAGGAGGCCAGAAAGCCTCACAACAGAGATGGAGAACAGAGATAGAGGAGGATGCGGCAGACAGGGCAACAGAATTTCTTGGTAACCTCAACCTGATGGCACAACTCAGTTTCCTGGGTGGGTGGGTGAGTGGATGTTACAGACACAATTCATGTGCATATAGGGTCAACAGCAAAGTGTCAGAAGGTAGTGAATAGGAATGCGAGAGCTGATCATACCAAATGTGGTCTACAAATCTAAAGTTTGCTGTGCAGCAGAGGCTCCTGCCCACATCTGACTTGGCATCTGTTCTGAACAAGTAGGTCATCAACACTCAGCAGATGTTTCATCGCTACTTATGGAAGCACTCTTTATAGAAAAGTTCCCTTTTATGCCTCTTTTGCCTGTAATCTATTTGTGTCTTGTTTGGGCTACACTTCTTGGACCAGTACGTGTGCTGGAGAAAGCAAAGGCTGTTAAACCCTTTTAGTGGGAGTTGCTGTTTCTTAAAAAGTACAGCACGCTGGACAGTTTTTCTTCTTTTTTTTTTAATACCTCAGTGATGAAAACACCAGAGCCGTTCATATCACTTTAATGACTGTGAATATGCCTCTCGCTTTATTGGCCCGATCATCCTGGTGTGATGAAGAAGCAATTGAATCACAATGTGTCGCTGGGATAACAAGCAAGTAGTGGAACAATAGCCATTAGTGACATATTTGTGGGTAAATTCTTTCAGAGGAGTCTGGGGAATAATATCAGGGTCATTAACTGAAATGTGTGAGTCTCATCAGGATGCCCCAGCCAGTTTACCAAATCTTGAAGGTGAAACTCCAACTGCTCCTAAGCAGTCAAGCATCTGAGTGGTGGCAGGGACTCCCTTTGGCTGTCACAGATTTATCAGCAACGTGGAGTGAGCACTTGTTCTCCTGGGTTACAACTGCTTAAAGAGAGAAACTGTCAGTGTCAGGTAATCCACACACAAACAGCAATCCTTCACAGAAGAGGAATGCTAGGTGTGCCTTGGAGGCTGTCACTGGTTCTTCTCTCAGTAATATTCAGCTCCCAGTCACAGCAAAATGCTGAGAGGGTTGAACTGAACAAGCTTAGACAGGATTTAGTGTGGGATCAGCACAGACTTTTTGGTCTAAATTTAAAACTTCCTGTTCTTCTTGGTATCCTAAATGGTCTGAATGTTTACAGAGGAAACAAAAATACCCCCTAGATTAAAAGTATCATGTGGAGCCATGGAATGGAGGAATGAACATAAAGGATCTTATAGGCTGTGTAAGGATACAGGATATGGGGGGGTTGTTTCTGTGTTTTACTGGCACATTTTAATTCTTTTCAACTTTTCCTGGAAGAATTATTGCATGTCACTGCTCTCCTCAGTTTGCATTCTATTGTCCTCTCTGCACTCAGACCTTACTTTCACAAACCTCTGACCAGTTTGGTCACACTGTGGCGCATTGCAGTAAGAGATGCACAAGCTTGGGAGATGTAGATTTCCAGGTATTCAGCTGTCCTCAGCTTTCCAGTGGATGTGGTTGACATGCTGTGGGCTGGCAGCGCAGTAATTTGTTCACATGTCTGTATCTACAGAATACCATTTGCAGGCTGTCCACAGTACAGTACAGGATGGCGTGCTGAAGTAACGTCTTTGCTTGCCTGGATGCAGGCTCAGAGCAACATCTGCTGCACTGTGATAAAACAAGCTTGACTGTAATGCCTTTTTAAAAGAAAAAACTAATATTCATATTTTCCATGACTAAGACTTTCAAGGTTCTCTTTTAGCAGAGAGAGATGCCTTCAGAGATTCTGACAGGCTCATTTGCTGCTGGTTAGTGTTTGGGTACAGCATCACTTGTTTCTGACTCACTGCAAGTACAGAGCACATGCTGTAAGCTCCTTCATCCACGGTGTATGGCAGGGTATGCACAAAAAGAGGTGCGCACTAAGGAGGTTCACAAAACTTCTTAGTAACCCTAATGCTCACTCATGTTCTCCTATGGGAGTGCACACCCAAACTCAATGCAAATGCCAAGCATCGCTATGTTCCTGTACATGCAGTGTATGACTCTCACATATCTCACATATTCTAGTCATTCCTTACATCTCCATTTCTTCACACACCACATAACTGCAAGAGCTTAACAGCGGGGAGGCTGATCTCTTTTAGCCTTCAGGCCTGGCTATTACTCTGATCATTCACCCTGGCCTTCCTGCTCCGTACAGGATGGAGAGCCCTGCCTGATGAGCCCTGAAGAAAAAACAGCATCATGTGGCCTTCTACTAAGAGAAATTTGTGATACCTTTTTGAAGTCTCCAAGCTGTGGAGAAACCACCCCATCAGTTGCTCCCATGGTAGATACCCTTTGTGACAGGAAAATGCAGCTAATTTCTGGTTTGAATGAATCTCATCCCGAATTCTAGTCACTAGAAGTCATTGCTGTTCCATCTGCTAATGAAAAGAACTTTCCAGATGATCCCCATACTGACTGACTGCCTGAATGGCCACCCACTAGCGTCTGTGCTCAGCTAAGTACAGCTTCTTTAGCTTCTCACCCTAGGTGAAAGTTTTCCAGGCCTTGGAAAATCTAATGCTAGCCTGAAGGTCTCCAGAAAGTTTAAGCTACTCTCAGGAAAACTTCTCCATACAGGTTAGCCCATGTATGGATTTTAAGAGCATTTTAACATAAGCAATTGCTGTTCTTACTTTCTGAAAGATCAGGAACTAAACCGGTTGCTTTATTTATCACTGGTTTTGTTTCCAGACACAGAAGACAAATATCAAATGAGCATTTTTACCTCTTACGCTTCATTACTGATAACTGGCACCATTTTACCATGTCTACAATTTCTACTGTTCCTAAGAAATGAGAAATGTCTTTATCCCGCTGGCATTAAATCTTCTGCTTTTAGTTTCCCATGTTGGTTTGGATGAACAGTTAATTCACTGTCACCAGTTTTTTTCCCCCTTCTGACAAATATATTGGTTCAAGCAGGAGGGAGACTTAATAAGTTACATACTCCAGACCCAAATGAAGCTCCTCCATGGTCAACACTCAGCAGACCTCTAACACCTCCTTGGTGTACACCCAGATGGACAAAAAAGGACCTTATGGGAAGGTTTCTTAAGCTGTGCTCCTTGTCCAGTCCTTCTCACATACTCCTGAACCATAGAATCATAGATTCACGGAATGGTTTGGGTTGGAAAGGACCCTAAGATCATCCAGTTGCAACCCCCTGCCATGGGCAGGGACACTTCACACTAAATTGTATCACCCAAGACTCTGTCCAACCTGGCTTTGAACACCGCCGGGGATGGAGCCTTCACAACTTCCTTGGGCAGCCCATTCCATGTGCACATATTCTGCAGATACCCGCATTTCTCTGCGCAGCTTGGCCAAGAGTCCCAGGTTTCTTTGGGAACGTTTATTTTTCTCTGCCTTGGGGTTGTTTTTCCTCCTTCAGTTTTTAACTAAAGGTCTCTCTTCAGCTCGTGACAAGAGGTGAGATTTGACTTCCTCTGTCCTTTCCTCTGTCAGCCTTTTAGCCCTGAAGACGGATGAGGCAGTGATGATCCTGTGCTATGCAATGCTGGAGGGAAACTGTCTCTCGTCAGTGGTCGCTCAGGCTTGGAAGGAGATGGAAGAAAGCGTCTTTGGGTTCGGAGATTCGGTAAAGATGTTGATGTCCACCTTGACTCTCTCTGGGTGCAGGGCTCCCTGCAGCGCTGAACACAGTCCTTGGGCAGCCAGAGCTCAGCAGCACTGTCCTTTCAGGTGCCACCTCCTGGGAGAAGCTGACCTGGTGACCAGGGAGGCAAGCTCCAAGCCAGGGATATGGGAGCTCCTCAGTCTCCCTTTTCCCCACTGACCTCCTGACTGCATCCACCCTAGGTGTGTGACAGCCTCGGGCGGCATCACATGAACCTGTGTCCTGATTGTGCTTTCTGCTCGCTGAAGAGGGAGCAATGTCAAAACATCCATACCCTGAACCGTGTTCACTGTGAGACAGGCAGCTTCTCCCCTTACATCAACCCTCAGATCTCAGCCCAGCACCAGGCTGCAAGCAACAAGGTACTGAGCATGCTGCATGTCCTGCCGGCCTCTGAGGAGGAGCCTAGGCTGGGTGATGGGGAGAGGAGGAAGAAGCATAGCTCTCTTTATCCCATTTTTGCAGACCAGCTTCCCGGAGACCTCAGACTACCATGGCATAGAGGTATTCAGAGGGCTGAGGGCAGAGTACTGGTGCAGCCGGATGGCCACTTATGGCTGTGAGGACGCTCGTGTGGCCCTCTGGCTGAAGGCAGAGTACAGTGCCTTCAAAGATGGAGGTGTCCCAAACCAGGTGGGTGCCCAGTGGATACTCCCATCCCTCTTTCTCCTCTTCTTCCTCTGGCATTCATTCACATCTCCCCCCAGATCTGTGACTCAGATGGAATTCAGCACCCTAGCTACTGCGGGTTCAAAAGCCACCAGTGTCTCCAGCAGAGCCTCAAAAACCAGAGGGTAAGAAGCAGCCTGCACTTCCCTTTACACAGCCTTCTCCATCACTGGTCCCTCCACAGCCAGCCCAAGTCCCTGCAGGACTCACAGGCACACTGCTTTTCCCTCCAGCAGGACAGAACTGTGTGTGTTTGGAGGGGGTGACAAATAGTGACCCAGCGCAGCTGGCATGTAATTGAGGCCATGGGATTTGCACAGATGCTGTAAGAGATGGCATCAGAGACAGACACTAATGTTGAGAGACAGAAGAGCTGTGGGGAGGCCCCCATCTGTCTGGGTATCCCTGTCTATCCCTGCAGGGGAATGTCTCCCTCATCTACTGGGTGCTTCCTAGGTGGTAACAAAACCCAAACACACAAGAGCAGCACAGAGCACTAGCCCATATCTCAGCTAAACACACATTTAGATAGCAGCCCCTCATCCTTCTTCCCTGCTGGTTCTCCCCTCTTTCCCCCTCGTGCCCTCATCATCCCAGCCTCCATATGCCATCCATCACGGAGATCCTCCTTTCCTGCGGGAGGGATGGGCAGTGGTATCAGTCCCATGAGCTCAGGCTGTCCTTGCAGGTGTTTCGCCGCAGCTGCCACAGGAACAAGACATACCGGGTGCTGAGTGAGAAGGAAGGAGAGGAGGAAGTGGAGCTGTGGCGCCAGAGGTTCCTCGACCTCTCCAGGGGGTGATGCATAGTAGCAGTGACATATGCAGGGAGCACAGGGCTCCATCAGGCTCTTTGGGGCTGTGGTGGGACGTAGTACCCTGGATAGGCTTGGACAGCTCTTCCCAGACCCCTTTGCTGGTTATGGCAGCTCATCATGGCCAGATCTCACCCTCCAAGCATCTGCTCTGCACCAGGGGCAGCAGCAGACCATGATGGGAGCCTCACTCAACAGCATGTCACTGTGGCACCTGCTGGAACCCCTGGAAACATTTTTCTCCAGCCAAAGGAGCAGCTGAGCATTGAGAAGGCATCAGCCCTGGGAACCTGGATTTAGAGTCTCTGGTCCAAGCATCGTTGTCTGACATCCCAACCACCTCTTGCCTCCCTCCCTCCCTGCAGGTCTATACCAGTTAGGAGATCTCCCAACAATGTATAAAGAGCCTGTTGTTTCCATAAACCTAACTCACTCCATTCTCTCTGATGCCACTGCTCTATTACACCACTCAGTGACCCCTCTGATGTCCAAGGTGGGTCCCTATGCCCCCCTGCTCTGCACCATGGTGTTTCTCACCTGCTGTAGTCCATGTATCCCCCTGAGCATGAGGACTCCATGGGAGGGCCCTTTCTCCTCCCAGCCCATGGGAAGCAGCAGAGCCAGTCCCAAATGCAGCACCAGGAAGGAGCTGACATACACCTTTGGCTTTCCATTGCAGACGGTTTATTTCTCAAGTTGAAGGGTTTATCGCGCCTGTGTTCTCCCACCCTCCCTCTGGAAAAACAATTCAAACAACAGAAACCCCAAGGGGGTGCCATGCGGGGAGCACAGGGGTGGCACCCCTGGAGCCAGGGGCTCCTCTCTGCCAGGACAGCAGAACCCCACACCTCCTCCGCTCCCCCCCAGGCTGTGTGTCTCCCCACGCCTTCCCCTGCTCCCCATGTCCCTCCCGAGGCTGTCCCTCATGGCTGCTGAGCTCATCCATGGCTGCTGAGGTCCGGTTGCATTGGCGGCCCGAGGTGCCAAAGACCCCGCACAGGGGGCCCCGGTCGCAGAAATCTGGGCTGGCCAACAGGTAGACCAAGTCGTGAGCTGTGTAGGGCTTGAAGCGAGAGCTCTTGGGCACCAGGAGCTTGTGGGAACCGACCCGTTTGGGGTAAACCTCTGTCGCGCCCTCAAACTTCTCCTTGAGGATGTTGCCCACCTTGCGGAAGGGAGGCATCACCTTCCAGCACGTGTGCACCTCGCACACGCCATGGCACTTGCACTGTACCTTCATGTGGGCCAGGAGAGCCTGGGGAGCAGGAGGCAGCTGCCAGTCAGACCTGGGACACCCTGACCCATAGTTCCTATGGCTGCAGGTGCAGCAGCCACTGTACCCACACACCTCCATGGGGTGGGAAGGGAAGGGACCAGGGGAAGGCAAGGCAAGGCAAGGGAGCAAAAAAGTTTCTTTAAGCCAAGCCATTTTGAAAGAGAAGGGACCCCCTTCTATGGAAACTGGATGGGTATGTAAAAGAAATCCTTGCTGCAGAGGAACAGATGGGGACCTGCTGTGACCCATGGGGCTGTGGGGATGGGAACAGATCTGCCCAGAGCCAGAGGACATTCAGAGGACCAGATCTAAGTGTCCCCTGCAGAAGATGGTGGTTTTATTCAGGAGGTACTGAAGGAACAGGGAAGCCCTTCAGAGCAGGATGGAGAAATCCATTTCCTTCGCAAAAAAGGCCGAGAAAGGTAAATCACGGCTGAGGCCTGTGAGGAAAAGGAGACTCTGCACAGAGGTGGGTTAGGGAGGCTGGGACCCACACACACAGGAGGGGAGCCAGCTCGGTGTGAGCAGCGCAGTGCTGGGCTGGGAAAAGGCAGCAGGACACAGACCTGCCCTGGGGACCCATGGCTGTCCCGAGCGGCTCCTCAGGGTAAGCGGGCGGGACCGAGCTCCACCGAGCCAGGGAGAAGCCGCTGAAGCCAGGCTCGCTCCCCAGCCCTTGTTCCTGCCCGTACCTTCCTCCCAGCCTCATCGGTGTGCAGGTTCATCAGCGTTCGGCTGGAGGAGGCACCGCGGCTCCTCTCAGGGTTGTCTACAAAGGCTTGAGAGGAAGTAACCCCGTAAGACAGGTTATCAGAGCAGCCTGACCGCTGGGAACCCGCAAAGGGAAAGCAGCCGTGAGAAAAAGCAGCAGCAGCCCTGGGAGGAGCAACTAAAGGGCTGAGGGCTGCGGAGAAGGGAGGTGACCCCCCCCCCCCCCAAGTGAGGGTTTCCTACATGGACCTTCTCCTCTGCCACCCCTCCCTGCCCCCAGCCTCCTCCTTCACCTTCGGGGCTGACTCCTCGGACCTTGCGGTCGCATCCGCACCTCTCCAGCCCCCCGCGGCTGCAGGCACGAGTGACAGCAAAGGCAACGCCGGCCGCGGCCATGGCGTGGATGAGAGCAGGCTCCCGTGTGCCTGCAGTGGGGAGAGACATGGCACCAGTCTGCGGGGGGAAAGGCACTGATGGGACACGGCACAAGGGAAAAGAGGTTGCGATTGCATGCAGGGAAGATGTATTCTGATGGAGACTGCTCAGGAGAAATCACTGTAAGGATGCTCGCCTGGTGATGCTGTTTCTAAAGCTTTGGACCACTAAGGGAGACGGCTCTGTGGGGTCCTTCGGGACCCTTTGACACCCTCAGTTCCTGGGCTAGGTGTCCCATTGTGGGAGACAACTCATCAGCCACCGGGAGAAGTGAAAGGGAAGCCATGGTGGGGGATGCCAGGGTCTGAGCCTCCCACACAGAGGGGTTTGTCAGGGAGGACCCGGCTGCCTTGTGCCTAGGAGCCAAAGAGACTCTTGCTCATAGCTCTGTGCATGGCTCTTCCCACCCAAACACATGCAAAATCTATTCAGTGCTGTTTGGGGGCATAGGCAGATCCTTTTCTTTTGGCCTGCAATAAAAATGGACTGCAGCTGCAGAGCAAAAGGTTTAATTGGAGCTGCTACTCCAAAGGGCTGGGTTGGTCAGTCTGCACCAGTTTGCACCAGCTAGTACCCACAATAATCCACATGGGATCAAAAAGCCAAATCGGGACAAATGAGGAAAAGTTTAGCCAGAATACTAATATTTGTAATAACACATGCATTTGGTTCCGTTTGCTGCGCGTTGACAGCTATGGTAGTACATGGAGGAGGGCACTGGCCACTCTGGGCACACTAGCCCACGAAAAGAGCCAGTGTGTCAAGGAGATCCCATGGACATACTGAAGGGACCCCCTGCACCGCCTCCCCATCACTGACCTTGGATGGCCACCTTGCTGAAGACCTGCAGGCCCTGCAGTGTGGAGCAGTTCCACCGCCGGGAGTGGAACTGGTGCTGGCACTCCTCGATGGCCAGCTCTGCGCCTCGCCTCACCGCATCCATGGCTTCCACCTCCCGCTGGCAAAGGCGGACCTGCTCTTCTACCAGCCCTGCCAGGCTCTCGCAGGCCCTGGGGTCCCGGAGGAGCACCCACAGGGAAGTCTGCTTGGCCAGGTACCTGTGGGGCATGGGAGAGTCAGTCGCCGATAAGAGAGAGCCCGAGCTGTGTCTGCCCTCTGTAGACTAGCCCTCTGTAGCCTTATTTTAGAGCAGAAATGGAGCAGGGAAGGGGATGTGTTGCCTCTTGTCTGTACCAAATTGGACATTCCTGCTTCTCATCCTGGTCTGCACCTCTCCAGCTTCACTGTCCCTTCCCCTCATGATCCCAGAGATGCCCCTCTTTAATGGGCTGCCTTTGGGCTGCCCAGTTCCTTCTTCCACCCTTTCTCACAGATCTGCCTGTTTTCTTGGGAGACAGCACCTCCCCAGGTGACTTTCCAATCCAGACAAGTACAAAGCATACTTAGAGCCAGGTCACAGCAAGGACGTGCTGCACCAGGATCAGCACCACGTACAGCCACACCATCTCCATCCTGTCCCTGGTGAAACTCCAACTTCATCCACTGTGCAAGAGCACCTGAATCCCCTCTTGTGGCCTCCCACTGCCTCTGCCCGACAGTCGCTCTCACAGCAGCTCCAGCGCAGCAGTGCAGCACACAGGTAGCCCCTACCCTGGGCAATGACTGTGGGCTGCTTTGGTGTGCAGTGCCAGCATCGAAGACCTGATATCCCACAGAAACCTGACAGGTTGGCCCTGAAGAGCCTCCACGCTGGTGCTGTTCCCTACCTACAGCTCAGGCAGCATCATGGGAGGGCTCTGAACTTGGGGTCTGGGGCAGGCATCTGTCAGAGGGAGCTCACATGGCTGGGGACAGCTTCAGTGTCAGAGCCCTGGTCTCTGTCAGCAGTCGATCTGGTTGTCTTCATCCACAGCCAAGTCACTCCATCAGCAGGAAGCAGCCAGACCCCCAGCCAACAGCAGAGCCTTCCACACAAGGAAAACCTGGCAGCACCAAACTAGTTGTTAGACCCATCAGCTCATCACTGCTCTGTCACCAAGCCCTTTGGAGAGACGGAGTTTCCCTGCAGTGATAGCTCATGGGAGCAAACAGGGGAAGGTCTGCAGCCTCCCTCATCCCCAGCCACCATCCTTGAGGACCCTCCCTCATTTGCCTCCTCCAGGCTGGAGGTTCTTCTTTTCTACCCTGCAGCCCACACAGCCACAGCAAACAAACACAGCCTGGCTGCTCCCTGGCTCTTTTAACTCTTTCTCTGCAGGTCTCTCTCCACCCCACTCATTTTCTTCCCCATGGCAAGAGGTTCAGTCCTTGCCCTTTTCCTAAGCAGGCATGATGAGGGGGCTGCCCCTCTTCGCAGTGGGTAGGATTTTCCTAAGAGCTCCTGGGAGCCCCAGAAAATGTGCATTGTGTCACCAGAATGTCCTGGGAGAAACAAGCCTGTCATTCCCTAGCAGGCCTGGGAAGTGCCAGCCGTCCCCACCATCCTGGAGGCTGAAATTCCTCACAGCCTAGAAGGTTCTGCTTTTCCTGTCTGAATCATTCAGAAAGTGAAGCGTGGCTGCTCCAGCCTTGCTATGGCTCTTCCACCATGGCCTCCCTTTGCTGTGCTCTTCCACATTTCCCTGCACAAAGAGGTATGAAGAGTACTAGGGTTTATAGTCATCCTTTCAAACCCGAGCAGCCCCTCTGTTGTAGCACGCTTTCCACCTCTCCCCTTGCCTTCACAGCAACCTGCATCCCTAGATCTGTTGGGTCCTTGTTCCTGATTTCTGGAGTCAGCTCTCCGGGGCAGCAGGCATGTTGGGATCTGCAGCACCAGGGTGTAGCCTCCGACACACACCCCATTAATCTGGTCTTACCTGCTACAGACTCAGCTGTGAGGAAATGCCAGGGGTTGCGCTGCTCTTCACCACAAGCTGAGCTTCCAAGGGACAGTGAGGAGCAGAGGTGTGAGCCCACCTGGGCAGGGGGAGATGGAGTTCGTGGGCTGATGCACTGAGACCTGGTGAGGTGAGTGAACCTGGGTGAGGGATGCTCTGGGGCTCATGGGCTAAGTGCCACCATGTTCTCCTTTTCTGGCACGCATGGAAAAGCCAGGCTCAGGCAGGTGTGTGCACATGTGTGAGGGGAGGAGAAAGTTCCCATAGAGGCTATCAGAGACTCCTTTTGCAAAGGGAGAAGGACACCTACCCCCCTCCCCGGTATATCTGCAAGTCTTTATCAGCACCAGAGCCTCTATGGGAACTGGAGAGACACAAAAAGCTGTGAGAACAAAGGCCCCAGCAACTAGGAAATGAGAAGGGGTGGGTCCCGTTAAAAAAGAGAAGCACTAAAAAGGAGCAGGGTGAGATCAGTGGTTTGAGTGCTATTGTACCCTCCAAGGATTTATGAGCAGCAGGAACATACATCCCTCGGTGTGTCATTCCCTGAATGAGGAGGCAGTGTTGGCAGAACAAGGGAGGCAGGCAGTGAGAAAGTCAAACAGCAGCAGCAGCAGCCAGCAGGCGGAGGAGGTGGTCAAGGGCTGCAGGGAAAGCGGGATCCCACAGGCACAGCACCTTCTCAAGGCAGCTGCTTCTGGCAAGGACTACTGTTAGGATTGGGAGTGTCCCCATGACCCCTGTCTTCTTGCAGGTGTGCTGGGACTGGCAATGCAGAAATGGGACTTGAAGCAACAGAGTGCCAGATGGGCTCTGCAGAAGGGCAGATCCCCTTCCAACGATGCCTGGCAGTGCTAGGTCACCGATGTCCTGCTAAATCAGCCCTTGCACTTTCTTAGCACCGTGCCTCCTGTAGCTTTAAACTACAGGGACTGATATCTGTGGCAAACGTGCCTTTGCCTGCCACGGGCACTGCCACCTCTTCAGAGCTCAGTTCTATTGGGTTCCTGCTGGCAGGAGCTCAGTCCCAAAGCACCCAACCCATGGGACTGACAGGACCCTGAGCCTTTGCACTGCCTGACAGTTAAATCAGCTTTGCTCTCACTTCCTCTATTTCACTTCTACCTCCTGTTTAGCAGTATTCTGGGGAGGGGGATGTTTTAGTTTTTCCCTGTCAGTCCTGGGGGTGGCTGAGCAAAGACAAGCAAGTGTTCAGCACTATGACCCTGGGCATGTCTCCTCAGTTGCAAGGACATCTGGGTGTTGCTTCTTTCATGATTATGTTTGTTTTCATAGGAAGTGTTTTATCTTAATCAGCTTTGGGTAGCAAGGTTCATTCTCTGTGGGCAGCCAGAAGTGCATCAGGAAGTGAGAAAGGAGCAGAGATGATCTGCAGCATGACAGATGTAGAACTAGATATGGTGAGGTAGAGGATGGCTGTGATTTGGATGAACAGGTAGGCAAAGAGCCTGTCTGGTCCTGTTTTGATTCCAGCTGCTTTCAGTTTTGGTGCCTGGATCAACAGCTTTGCAGTGACAGCAGTCGCTATCGAGCAAGCCTGCGCGCACCTTTGGCTCTTCACCAGCACAGAGGTAAGTGAGATGGAAACACCTGGAGAGCTGGATGGTGTGGGGGCACTGGGCACTGGTCCCCATGAGAAGCTGCACATGTGCTGCCAGACCTGAAAATGGGGCCCTTGGGGAACCCTCTACACCTCTTTCGGTTGCATAGTGAGCCTAGAAGTGCAAGGCAAGTCTCAGTATTTACTCAGAGGATCCTGGTTTTAGGATCCTGTGATACTAAAAGCACGGGCAGACTGTAGAGCTTACTTGACAAAGTGCCCACTATGGAAGCCCTGTTCTGTGGGGCCCTCAGGAGATGAAGGGGGATGTCACCTCTAGGGAATAGGCAGTAGAAGTGTGACCAGACCTTGTGAGTTAAGTGTGGAGGTCTCAGCTTTTATGTCATCTATCTCTCATTAAAAAACAGACATCCTTGAATGTCTTCACAGTTCTAATCATCACGATAAATCATCACAATAATCTAATTTCTTGGTTAGAAAAAAAAGATGAAAAGTGGGGCTTAAATATCACTTACAGTAGATAAAAAGCATCCACATTTATGATAAAATGTACCTTCAATTTCTAAAGCAAAGTTGGGTGTTTTTGAGATTCGGTGCACTCTTTGTTATTTCCTTTTGGTTTCAGATTTACTAAGCAAGATCATGCAGTTTGTGTTTTCAGCTGCTCTGCTCTGCACCCCAGTGCTACGTTCTCTGTCTGCATCCCCAGCCCCAAAGAGGTCCAGGGTTTAAAACACAAGTCACTCTCAGAAATACTGACCTTGTGGCATGCTCAGCAAGCTTTTTCTTGCTGTCTTTTTCCACCTCGTTTCTCAGCCGTGTGCATAGCCCTCTGCCCACCATGCTGTGCTCCTATTTGCAGTGCTAGGAGGCAGTGTCTGTTGGTGAGATAGTGTCAGGAGAAAAGAAGCCCAGGACCATGCAATGAGATGCCAGGCACACATCACCTCAGGGCACGCTGCCTGTTCTGGCCCCTGTATGCAAGTACAGTAGGGGTGGGTGGATGTGTGCTTACCCAAATCCTCAAGGGGTTTGCATGCCCTGTGGGGTCTCCAGGCCTACCACCTATTTTGCTGCCTCTGGAGAGAGATGCCCACCTTGGGCCCCATCTCTGGCTTGTCTCAGTCCAGCACCCCACACCTGCCAGGGCCCTATGCAGCTCCTGAGCACCATGAGAGGCATGTAGAATTGAATCATAGAATAGTTAGGGTTGGAAAGGACCTTAAGATCCTGTAGTTCCAACCCCCCTGACATGGCTGTTGTTCAAGTGGGGTGGCCACAGGAGGGGAGCTGTGGGAGGGGAGGACAGTGCATTCTTTTCAACTGTGGTTTTGGGGTTGTCTGACCACCTCCCAGCATCACATTCTCCTCTTCCGTCACACAGCAGCAGCAGCCGACATTGCCCCCATCTCACACCTATACCAGCACCTCTTCCTCCCGCACTGGTGTTTTTCCTTCCTTCTTGTTTCTGCAGCTTCTCCTCCCCTGCAGCAGTTGCTCAGAGGCGTATGTGTGTCCGTGTGCACACAGGTGCACCTGCACGTGTCATGTCTATGTCATTCCCCCTGTTCCCCCTCCCAGGGCAAGAATATTGGCAGCAGATTCATTTTCTACCTAAAACCAGAAAGAAGCATCTGCCTAGATAGGATCTGTAGGTTTGAATGGCTCTTTTCTGTCCCTGCTGGGAAAAGGACCATGGTCTTGGCAGATGGCCTTCAGGGGCTTATATTGATCTTCACTGAGAGGTAAAAAGATGCTTCCTCCACCTTCTGGGCCACGTAAGGTCAGTCACCAAACAGAAGTTCCCTCAAGATCTCAAGTCAGCATCTCATCCTGAAGAGGAGGATTGTGGTACCATTGCCTCCTTACACAGTTGTTGAGTTGAGTCCCCTCAGTAGCTTTCATGTGGAGCAATGGGTACTTGAGGTTCTTTCAGAGGCAAACACAAAGAACATGGTCTGTGGCAGTCAGACATTAACCAACAAGGATAATCCAACCAGTTTCAGCTTCCTGACACCAACCTGCTTTACTCTTAGCTTTCCTTTTCAGTGAAGGAATCATAGATTCACAGGCTGGTTTGGGTTGGAAGGGACCTTAAAGCTCATCCAGCTCCAACCCCCTGCCATGGGCAGGGACACCTTCCATGAGACCAGCTTGCTCCAATCCCTGTCCAACCTGGCCTTGAACACTGCCAGGGATGGGGCAGCCACAGCTTCTCTGGGCACCCTGTGCCAGTGCCTCAGCACCCTCACAGGGAAGAGCTTCTGCCTAAGATCTCACCTCAATCTCCCCTCTCTTTTAGCTTAAAGCAATTACCTTTTAATGGTAAAGGGGCAGTCAAAACAGTACTTGCAGAGCTCTTCAGAGAAATGCTTTGTTCCCACAGCTTCGTCTTTCCAAAGACCGCATATGTACACATCTCACTTCAGGTCTCTGAGATCTTGACTATGGTATCCGTTATGTCAAATGTGAGACTCTCAGCTTAACGTCAGTAACACCACTGTAGAGGATTCTTTACTTCAGTGCTTAAATCCACCCACCAACAAAAAAAAATCCCTTCGAAAACCCCAATCTATTTTCTGCTCTCAGTGATCTTTGCTGCCAGTTTAGAACTCTGCTGCTTGGTGTCTCGAAGGCTGATGGGCTCATATGTAAGGAAAGA